CAGAGGCATTACACTACTGTCAATACCGGGTAAAGTCTTCAACAGAGTGTTACTGAACAGGATGAAAGACGCAGTTGACGCTCAACTTCGAGATCAACAAGCTGGATTCCGTAAGGACCGGTCGTGCACAGACCAGATTGCGACACTACGGATCATCGTCGAACAATCAATTGAGTGGAACTCGTCACTCTACATCAACTTCATTGATTATGAGAAGGCATTTGACAGTGTAGATAGGAGGACGTTATCGAAACTTCTTCGACACTACGGAGTTCGTGAGAAGATTGTCAACATTATCCGGAACTCATACGACGGACTACAGTGCAAAGTAGTGCATGGAGGACAGCTGACAGACGCATTCCAAGTAAGGACCGGAGTAAGACAAGACTGTCTACTCTCTCCCTTCCTGTTTCTTCTGGTGGTCGACTGGATTATGAAGACCTCGACATCTGAGAGAAACTACGGCATACGATGGACAGCTCAGAACCAATTAGACGACTTGGACTTCGCAGATGACCTAGCCCTCCTATCACATACACACGAACAAATGCAGATAAAGACAGCCAGCATAGCAGCAGTCTCTGCATCAGTAGTCCTCGACATACACAAAGGGAAAACCAAGGTCCTCAAACACAACACGGAGAACAGCAATCCAATCACTCTTGATGGCGAAACTCTGGAAGACGTGGAATCCTTCACATACCTGGGAAGCATCGTCGATAAACAAGGAGGTTCAGATGCAGACGTCAAGGCGAGGATTGGCAAAGCTAGAGCGGCATTCCTTCAACTGAAGAACATATGGAACTCAAAACAACTTTCAACCAATATCAAAGTCAGAATCTTCAATACGAACGTCAAGGCAGTTCTACTGTACGGAGCTGAAACTTGGAGAACTACAACAACCACCATCAAGAAGGTACAGGTATTTATCAATAGCTGTCTACGCATGATACTCAACATCCATTGGCCGGATACCATCAGCAACAGCCTTTTGTGGGAGAGAACCAACCAGCTTCCAGCTGAAGAGGAAATTAGGAAAAGACGATGGAAATGGATAGGACATACATTGAGGAAACCATCAAACTGCATTACGAGACAAGCGCTAACTTGGAATCCTGAAGGGAAGCGGAAAAGAGGAAGGCCAAAGAACACATTACGTCGGGAAATAGAAGCAGATATGAAAAAGATGAATAAGAACTGGAAAGAGCTTGAAAGGATTGCCCAGGACAGGGTTGGATGGAGAATGCTGGTGAGCGGCCTATGCTCCTTCACGAGGAGTAACAGGCGTAAGTAAAGTAAGTAAGTAATTATGATGTGTTTGTTTGTCATAAACGTTTGGAAGGAATCAGTTTCATTTGCATTTCATTTAATTAGGTTATTACTTGCCATACCACTAAGCCAGTTAAAGAGGTAACCATAAAATTTCCTATTCGAACTACTCTCAACTGTATGATACATTGGGATAATCAGAAATCACTAAATGACAAGTTTACATGATTGGTAAGGAAATAACTTTCATTTGCAAAGGATTAGAAATAAACCTATGACAAGCTAAATTTCTTAAGATAATTATATACATATATATAAAAATGAGTGCACAATCATATGATTCAGTTAAATAAAGTAAATTTCCTTTCTCATATTTTGTCTTTTCTCTCTCGTAGCAGTGCTTAGGTATAGGAAGAGTGTGTATCAGTATTAACTCTGGGATACTGTACATCAAAACAAAGTAATCATAATAGTACATGATGAGTAAAATGATAAAGTTTCCATGATATCCTATTAGTCTTCAATTCATTAACTATGTTTTCACAATTTTTACATTTAATACTGTTACATATCAGAACGAAATGACAAGAACCTATGTTTCATGTTCACAAATACTTAAGTTATACACAAAAGGATAGAATGATTAAAAGTAGTTACTCAAGACATACTTCTCAAAAGTAACGTTAGTTGAATAACATAAAAGCTATTACATCGTAAATTACGTACAAAAGTTCCATGTAGACACAACTCACATTTTCTATCAGAATACCATGTAGAATAAAATTAAATCATTGAAAAGAAAGTCACTAATGTCAAGATTATATTGCTTTATAAATGATGAGTATAGAATTGTCTTATTCCAACACCGATCGACCAGAATAACAGTCAGTTAGTATCTATCTATCTATTAGTTTATTCCGTTTATAATTTCTCAATATACTAATTTCTCTCCTATTATGGTTTTATTAGTGCACAATATTTACTTAAGAAAGATTTTGTAAATCAATTTGTATATTACAGCAGTTTGAAGATCCCTATAGAATACTAAAAATCAAAGAATATTTAAACGAACTATTGGTTACAATAACTTCATCATCAATCTCTAGTTATAACTCCATAATTATTGTTATATTTTACAAAAGAAGGCAATTGGGGCCCGATCCTCGCTAATATTTTTTCTAGCCAAACTGAAAAAGGACCGTTGAACGACATCCTAAATAATCTAGATTATTACTGTACATACATAGATGGTACACTATTCGTGTGTGACGAAATTATCGACAAACAAGTTGTTGAACGGTCGCAATAACGTTCATCCAGTTATTAATTTCACCATCAAAGAAAAGAACGATAATATTATAGCTTTCATTAATGTCCCACTTTCTAGAAATGTGACGGTCTTACAAAAAGAAACGTATTTAGAAAGAATACTTGAACGAGTCAGTATGCAAATTTTCATATCGTTACACCCCTTCAATACAAAATAAACTCTGACACGACCAAAAAACCCTTCACCGAAAATTCCATTTCAAAGGAGACATAGTGGGCGACGTTTGGATACGTTGATTTAAAGGATCTGTTGAAAAGATATTTCACGCTGCCATATTACATATATTCTTATCAACCAAACCAGTACTTACACAACACATCAAGTATAGGTTACCGATGATGGGCTCTTATATGTGTGTAAACCGATTCGACTGCTCTTGTGGAACTTTTTACATAGGCCGTACTCAGATAGTATTATCCTTGGTCTACAAATAGATCACTAGATACCTTAAATGGATATTATAAACCTTTTATCCCCCTATCAATTCCTTTTACATTTATCGTTCTTGATCTACACATTCGTCTTTCTAATTCACATGAATTTTTTAAAATCATAATTACTTTAACAACACATCTATTACATATCATATTCATACAACTTTATTATTATCATCTCAATAAACAGGACGAGATTCTCCTACCATGCATTTTATCCACACGACTCAATATATTACTATTATATTGATTATAACGTGACACTTTACTACTAATCATTTTGACCTTTATGAAATGATATTTCGAATTTACAAATAACACAATTCTGAAGTATTTATGTCGTAACAAATGAAAAACGTTCATCATTTCTTAACATATAACATCGTTAAATTCATTAATACGTGCCTTATTTTGATCTTAATAAAATATCACAATAATTATGGAGTTATAAATGTAGAGCCTAATGATAAGATAATTGAAAGTAACTGTTCGCTCGAATATTCTTTGTATTAGAATAATTTGTATATATGTGATTTATTTATGAATAAACTAATCTCATTATCCAGGGTTAGATAACAGTTATATGAAATACTACCAATATTAATACTTCGCATAATACAACTGACTAACAAGCTCTAATACAAATATATAAAACTCAGAATTAAAGTTTATTGATGATTTCTCTCACAATTGTTAAATATTGAAATTACAATCAGTTAGCTTTGTAAGAAGATTTTAAATTTAATTGACGGATTACGGTCATATGAACGTGGTTGGTTTCACTGAGCACATAGAAAGAAATAGCTACATTTTCTTAGTAATTCATGTTTTATGATGTGGTTCAACTTTGAATAACAAGTGAACCAAACTCCTAAACAGCTAATATTTTCTTATGAGTTTATTAGTTCAAATTGTGAATGTACTTATACAAACCATAATAACGAACAAAACTATAATTTAATAAGACAAAAACTCAGATTCTACATAAATAATCGTCTAATATGTTCTTTTCAAGGCTCAGGAACAATTCAACACCCACAAACACACATGTCGATCTTTAGTCACCATAAAATTCAGATAAAAAACTCGTTTATGTTATGAATCTTTGTCAATTGAGACACATCACATATGTTCGACATCTGCCTAACTAACTCATCAGATGATGTTAGCTAATATAGAAGTTTGAAGAAGGTTACGGATAACCAAACATCAGTCTATCCAATAGCTGTTAACTGTTCTAAGTAATGTTGGTATATGAAGACTATTCGATAAGAATCCGTGCAATAATAGCTATCAGAGGTAAGAGATGTTGAACGATATAGAGCAAGATCGGTCAAAATAAAGTAGATACATGCAATCAAGATCTTGAATTCTAATAACCTTTCATATATTCCCTTTCCCTTTGTCATCTCAAACCATATTCTCAATATTTCTCATTATTATTTCTATTATGTCATTTTAACTCCATCGCTATTCATTATTTTTTGTTTATATCTCATATTAATATAGTCTGTGAACTTCGACTAACTCACATTTGTACCCTAACATTCATATCATAACGACTAATTGACAATATTCAATTTAAAACTGTTGGGATGATCCAGAAAAGTTCTCACAACAGACACGCAAGGATCAGGAAACCTTAAGAAGCATTTCATCCAATCAGCGTTCACTTGGAGTTTAGCCAGAAACATCAAGGATGTGAAACGTCACATGTAGAGGTTCAGACTGGCTGATTGTTATACCGCTACTATGTTTAGTAGCATTCCAGAATCTTCGAGCAACCCGAGGACATTTAGAATATCATAAAAACCCTCTGTTTTCTGTATTAAAAGGAACCTTGAAGTAAAGTACTTTTCGCATACTTTACGCCTTCTCCCTCGTGTTCAGGTCGCTGTATAGTTCTAGCTTGGGGGGTTTCAAGAATAGCTTAGGAATCGAGTATAGCGCTCAAAATCGCAAGACTTATCAAAAACATAATCTATTATAATTTACAACAATAAAACTATGTTATTTCCTTTTGTCATAACAGTTTTAGTCAAAAAAATATTAACCATTAAAGAAAACATTAAAAGATAAAAGAAAATGAAATGATGAAGGTAAATAAAAAAAACAGCAAACATAGAGAACAATAAAATGATAGAATAAACAACGAATCATGAAAAATAGTTTTAAAAAAATGATTTCGGCATAAATATGCGTTTAAAAAAAACAAATACAATAAAAATCCCTAATTTTAACAAAAAAAATAAATTGAATGAGAAAATAAACTGTTTTTCAATATTTTTCCAACATTAATTATACAAGAACATTTTAATGTTAATATTTTTTTTCACCCGGTCGATTTGCATGTTGACAATGATGATTGATGATTTATTTCAACTTTACTATTATCATTAATATCAAGTGAATTGGACTTGGAATTATGTGATAATCTTATCGATTGAGTATCATTACCATCATTATTATTACAACCAACATCATCATTATTATTATTCAAAACAACATTGGATTTAGATGACGACCATTGAGAATTATTGACAGTTGATGTCTATGCGAATTGTGATCAAATGTAAAGAAAAACAAATGGTTATCAATACATATGATATAGTAGTAGTGAGAGATGTTAAGAAAATTCAAAGTGTATTGAGAAATGAATTGTCGGATAAAACGGGTGTTATCAATATCTATCGTCAAAAGATAAAGATAATATCAAAATATGATTGATAATGTGACAGAATATCATTGGAAATTGACACACTTATGCACAGTTGATTTATACAAATACATATCTACATGTATATTATTTACATGATAAATCATAAGTTGGACATGTTTATACCTGTCTTCAATGTGTTATCTTGATACACAAGAAACTGTGGGTATGGAATAGTGGAGTTACATTGAAATCATGAACAGATCAATATTAGACCACCATTGAAAACATGGAAAAACTGAACAGCCGTTTCCCCCTTACAATCATAATGTGCTTACCAGTAAATAGCTTTAAAAGTAAGTTGTCGGAGTTTTAGTGTGAAGTCGTGATCAGTGAATTTCAACTGTGTCAGGTATAAGGCAGTTACTCACCGAACACAGAGGAAGATGGTCACGAAGTATGGTGGATTTACTGAAGCTACACATCAACACTGTTGGATGTCAGATCAATGATCTAAAGACTAAGCGTTCACCCCAAAGTCTTGGCTATAGTCCCTGTGTGCGTGGTCGTAGATGCGCAACGTTCAAGAGTTCTTTACACGGAAAAAGCGATCGTCAAGTCTTTCCATGTTTTCTACAGTGGTCTAACATTGATTTCAATGAGAATAATTTTAATGAGCAATTTGGTTGAGACAAGGAGAATTTTCAAATACAGAAATTTGGGCAAGAGTATAGTATAGAAACGGACCAGTTAAAATCGAGACCGCGACTTCTATGTTCTTGGACGAAATTCAAGTATCATTTATAACTAGAAATACAAATACCTTCCCATAATACTCAAAAAACTATTTGTTGACATAACCGAGCAAAGATTAAGATGTTAAATGTATTGAATCCTTAATCCTCCCTCTTTAGATTGCGTATGACAGGCGAATTGACACTATCCCAAAATCCTGACCCTGAGACGAACCTTAAATTATTGGTAGTCGATTTTATGAGCAAGCTAATCTGACAGCGCTTCTTCGATTTTTGTGTAAAATTCAATCACCCTATAGAGCTAAAGAGCATTTTTACATTTTAGCTGATGTCAATTCATGATGAAAATAACTCGAAAACCCAAATGTGAAGACTCGTAAAAATTCATTTGCTTTTTGTAAGAGTTCTAAAAGACGGACAAACTATAATCATAATTTTGTTGTGCTTTGGTTTAGAGACCGAGTAATCTGAAGAAGACGACAATCGACTTATTAATTATGTAAAATCTGTTTATACGTTGCAATATTGTTATTTTCTTTCCCATAAACTATCACAGTATGTGGCGTTTGTAATAGAGTGGTCTCAATTTAGGTGCCATTAGAAATAATGAAGACCTCAAAAAATAGGTAGAACTATTTGCCTTGAGGTTTCACAAGGTGCGCTTAACCATTAGAACCCGACCGTAGCTGCTACCTTGAAGTGGTGGTCGGGCTTGCCTATCCTATTGACCCAACCGAGCTATGTTGGCTGGAACACATGTTCTTGTAGGTTCTACCATGCCAAGCAGGTTGATTGGAGAACGGTAAGTCTAAAAGCAGAAACTCAAGGTCTAAGGACGAAGTCGTACTGCTGACTGTAGAGAAGTGTGACAGCAGTAACGTGTCTCCCTCTGACAACCAACATCTGCAGCGATGCTGCTTTCTCACAAGGGAGGAAGGGGTTAGAATAGCTCGACTCTAAAAATATCACGCCTCACCTTAACTCACGGATTTCCGTCTCCGGCGGTAAGGCCCTTTGAAGAATGGAGCTAACACGTTCAAAACCTCCTACAAAAAGGCCGTGCGCAACCGGACTCAAGCAGTTGTCCCTTGGGATGTGCGCTTACGCTCCCACGTCGTTAAGACCAGCATTAATCCACCTTCTTTTCAGGTTCCTCGAAAAACACCCTTCCACCAATGGGTAGCCGATAAGTTATATTAGCCCTCATTACATTAGAAAATTTGGTGTTAGCTTAAACAGATGCATATATGTACATGGTTTTGCATCGCGAATGACTGACTTACACATTTCCAATTTCAGCCCATTCATCATACAACACGGTGATTAACCAATGGTGTTGGCAACAAATAATTTGCATCCGATGTGTATGGATATTAGTCGCGATTATACAATACTGGAGCTTCAGGAAGTCCTGATTCCAAACCGATAGTGTGCATAGACTCAAGGATCTTGTGGAAGTGAATAAAGTATCAATTCATCCTGATCACCGGCTATCATGGAAAGGTATCGCTTGATATTGCCCCACTACTTTTTGTATTATACATCAAAGCGAAAGGGCCGGGGTACTGACTTCTTAAGAAGACTAACTGCTCCAATTCGGATGTTCATATATATAACCACAATGTTATTTCTTTATTCATGTATGACATATTCGGTTTTTAATGACCATTTATATCAGATTTTATAAGTATTAAAACTAACTAAAATTGTTCAATATACACACAAAATTAAAAAAAGTAAATTTTATCTTAGTAATATCAACTTACTTGAAGTGTATTCACACTAGTTCCAAGTCTTGGCCACTCTGTTTCATCCGTAACTAATCCAATAGGTTTTAAATTTGAATCAGATAATTTTCTGTTAGACGGAGTAGTTTTTATTACATTAACCTCAGTATTTTTAATAAAATACTTTTTATCTTGATTAATTCTTTTAATTTTACTTGTAACAGAGTTAATAGCTGATGTAATGATGGTATTATTATGACTAATACAAGTATTAGTATTAGTAGTGGTATTAGTATTATTAGACTTAGACTTAAAACTATTCTTTTTATATTCATTACGAGGCATAGTATTAACCTTTTCCATCCCAGTTGCATAACTATCATAGTACTCGTGTTCGTACTGTTGTTCCTGCTCATTTAAACAATTCTTAGTACTTTTACCGATATTATTATCATTGTTATTATTATTTACTTTAGCAATATCAGTAGGGTTAAGAGCACGAATCGAATGATAACTGCTACGAGAGGTAATAACAACATTTTCATTGGTACTTGCTTGACCATTGAATCGCTGTTGCTGATGATGACCTATATGATTAGTAGAAGCAGTAGTACTGTGAGTGCTACTACCACTACTACTACTACTACTAGTAGTAGTAGTGATAGTTTTACACTTTTCAGAATGACATTTCTTTATTCCATTGGCAGTATTTTGTTTCAACGCACCGATAGAAAGTGAATGATTATTTTTACTATCATTATTATTATTATCATCAATATTATTTTTATTGTTGTTATCAACAATTATACTCTTGTGAATAAATTCTTCTGATTTATGATTGTGAAGAACACTTTCATCGCCTGATGAATGCTTTTGTAACCTTTTATGAAACTCTTCAACGGACCCACCACTATTAGTGTTACCATTTTGATGATGATAACGGCGACGCGTTTGATTGGTGTTATGAAAGTTACTAACTGTGTTGATACGGACTTGACTTGTCAACTTATTCGGTGTAACAAGTTGATTTCGATGGAGTGGCAAATATTGATTACTCTGAGGACACTGTTGTCGCGGTGAATGAATTATCAACGGTGTTGTATAATTTGATTGTGGTAAACTATTCATAAAATTATGAGACATAACATTGTCCTTCGGACAATGTTCATGAATGTGACATGGTTGTCGACTGTTTGCGTTGACAGTAGTAGGGTTTCGATTCATTTCTGAGTGTTGAATAGGATAATCTGGAGATGGTAAACTGGAATATGTACATGACCAATAGCTGACAGCTAAGGGTGCCATAGGTATACCTGGTGTGGTCGATAGTGTTTGTTTTTGTATATGTTGACAATTCGATCCGAAATATCCTGTAAAATCATGTCGACCAGAGTCATTATGTAAATACATTGTAGCATCCAGATCACATGAACCAGGCGATGGAAATACAAAATTATTTGGATAATGATGATATTGTGAAAATCCACTGGGATCACAACGTGATTGACCAGTAGGAATATCAACACACTGTTGCTGTTGCCGTTGTTGATGTCTTTCTTGAGGATGATCTTGAAGGTGTGGATGTGAAAAAGGTAGAAAATGTTGACCATGTTGTAAAGCTGGTGATGTATACGGTCTAGACATGTATCTACCATTATGCCCTATATTGAATGATTTAGCAAAAATGGTATTTCTTCTTGATTGGAAATTAAATTTCGATAATTTGATGGAATTTATTGGCCAAGCTGTGGAACGAGATTCAGTAGAAAGAAAAAAAAAGATAAAACCGCATAAAATACAGAAAAATTGTCAGTGTTAACAAGAGCATAACACAACAGACGAAGAGTTACGTAAGCAAAAAAATAATTTTCATTATTTTCCGTAAACTGTCAAATTTGTTACAACAGTTAAAATCATGAAACCATAATATCAATTAGTCCTTAAATTCTAGAATTCTATATCAACCAAAAAACGACTTACTGAGGTTTTGTATAATTCTTTTTGCGTTGGTTTTAAATAGTCTTTTTTCTATCGGAAAGTATACAATACTTTTAGTATACTTGGTACATACTTAGCAGTGGAATTTATGATACTCGTTCCATCCCATTTTGGACTCATTAGACTTATGGACCCGTATTCTAACGTTGATATTGAAGCTCGAACTCGCCACATTTTCCTTCAAATACACGTGTTATTCAGTAAGCTACTGGTTCTAAGGACAGCTTCTAAAGTGCTCAAAGGGTGTGAAAATATCAGTAAGTGTTTGTAGTTTCCATTTGTTGACACTCCGGACTGTAAATGATCAGTCTCAACAACAACACCGGGAACTAGGCACATTCGAATGATGACTCTCAAATACGACGAAACGTGAAACCTGCATTTTATTGATATTTAAACACCAAATAAACTAAAACTTATGAGATTGAATTATATCTAGATAATCCGATCACGGTGCACACATATATCTACTGAGGCTGATAATCAATCTCAGTTGTGGATATCACCAACCGAAAGGTACAAGTCTTTATTTGGAAACAGCACCGGAGGGTTGTTTCGATTTAGTATGGAAATCCTGACGAAAGCACACCCGCGATCCTGGGTCCAGGAATCAGACTTAGGACCATTGGTTTCGCGCGCAACATTGATTGCCAACTGATTAAGTGCGGATTGCATGGCTTGGGCATTCTCGCACAGTAAGACAATATCATCCGCATACTCAAGGTCGAGAAGTCTTTCTCCAGGCAACAGATCCACACAGCCATTACTTACATCCATCAGAGCTGTTTCTAGATTGTCATCGATGGTAAAGTTGGAGAGGAATGGTGAGATTGGGAAACCCTGTCTAACCCCACTGCTTGAATGGAACAATGGAGAAAGGTGGTTGTATACTCTCACTCTATCTGAGGTGTTTGTATATAGGGCTTTTAGGATGTTAATAAACTTCTCAGGCACACCCTTCTTCAATAGACAATCCCAGAGAACTGTCCTGTCCAACGAATCGAAGGCAGCCCTGATATTAAGAAACTACGATTGTTGGCCTTTGATAAGTATGACGGTGTTCTAACACTTGGCGGAGGGTGAAGATTTGATCAATACATCCTCGACCGGAACGAAAACCAGCCTGCTCCTCGCGAGTCAGTCTTTCTCGGGTTTTGAACAACCTACGAAGTATGACGAAAGCTAATATCTTGGACGCAATCGGAAGTAGGCTTATCCCCCGATAGTTGTTACAGGAACGACGTGAACCCTTTTTAAAGATAGGGAAAACTATCGACTCATTCCATGAAGTTGGCACGCTTTCTAGTTCCCAGACCTTTGTAAACAACGTCGTCAGTCCCTTAGCCAGAAAGTCACCACAATCTTTAAAAAAAACCGGAGGTAAGTCGTCTGAGCCCGGTGATTTGTAACGTTTCAAGAGTTGGAGTTCCTTGCGGACTTCCACCTCATTTGGTGGATCAGTCGTCACTGGCTATGGAGGGCAGGACATTCTGACCGATGTTGCCGGAGCAGCAGGCCAGTTGAACTGCCCTTCAAAGAATTCTGCCCATCGTCCAAGACGTCGATGGATGTTAGTGATTGGCGTTCCGTCATCCTCGCAGATTGTTTCGCTCACACCAAACTTCTTGCTGCCAGTGGCTCGGATGAGTTGGAAGAGCTTCCGGTAATTACCAGATGCAGCTGCTGCTTCCAACTCACTGGCACGCTCCGATCACCAGGCTTCTCGGTCCTTACGCAAGCTTTGCCCGATTTCATTACGTAACATCCTTCGTCTGTGGTCAAACTCACGGTCACCCGGAGTAGACCGACGGGCTTCAATCAGTTGTAAGGAACCAGAAGAAACCCAGTGCTTGTAAGCGGGACGTTTCGCGAACCCACAACAGACTGTACCCGCCATTTTCATGGCGTCATGCAATCGCAACCAATGCTCATCTATACTTTTCAGTGGAATGGTAGCTAGCCTAGAAGCTAGCTCGGTTCGGTACATACTAGCAACAGAAGTTGCAGCCAGCTTGCTAACATCAATCCTTTGGTGGCGGTCACTTCGTTGTCCACTGAAAAGTAAGGTAAGATTGGCGCAGACCAGAGCATGATCAGATTCCAGATAGGTACTCCAAAAGGAGCGGTAGTCTTGTACACAACCGCGCCAGTGGTAGCTCATCGCGATGTGATCAATCTGAGTCCAGGCTTGAGATGCAGAAGGGGGACGCCAGGTGGCACATCGGCGATGACTGTGCCGAAAGTTAGTGCTAGCCAGAAACAGGTTGTGGTCTGTGCATAGTTGCAGTAGACGTTCCCCGTTATCTGTCCTGCGACCAACGAGTCCCCATAGGCCACCTAAACGACTCTATTCTGTGCCTAGACACCTGACCTGAGCATTCAAGTCTCCGGCTAGTACTACAATATCTATCAAACGCACTTTCCGGAGAAGAACAGTTAACTGTTGGTAGAATTCATCCTTGATTGCATACGGGCTGCAATCTGTCGGAGCATAGGCAGAGATGACGAAAAGACATAGTTTCTCGCACCGATTTCTTCTCAATTTGATGGAACTTTCTGATCTAACAGCACATAACCGACTGTTAATGGGGATCCAATCGATTAGTGCTGCCTCAGCCCTAGTGCTTAGTGTGATACCAACGACAGCAAGACCAGACGAATATGCCACAGGGTCCCCGGATAAACGCACGTAAAACAAGCTTTTTGAAGCGACGGATGACAGCGCATTTGTAGTACTTTACCAGAGTCTTGAATACGGGTCTCGGATAGACAACAAACGTCAATATTAAGACTTTCCAAAGACATAGCCAGCCCTATCTGTTGTCCGACCTGCATAAGTGTGCGAAAGTTGAAGGCAGCCAGTTTGAATGGTGCACGTGGTTTCAGAAAAACTGCTTCAATATTCGTATTTAGTGGTAGCATACAATTTTCAACCAAACAGTGACTCGAGAACGTTTAGATTGAACCGAGTTTCCATTATAGGCGAGCTGCTGTATAAGTCGAAAAATAAGTATACATAGAGTGGGAATAAAAGAGGGTGAATAAATGACGTAGTAAATGATAATAATAATAATAATAATAATAATAATAATAATATTATAATAATAATAATAATAATAATAATAATAATGTGAATTCTTTGACTGTAAATCGAAGAGAATAGAATTTTCAGTAAATATCATCATTTTCATTTTATTTGTGTGCGAGCTGTGAAAGAAAAAAACTACTCGAATACAAACTCAGTCAGGTAATCCTATCAGGCTTTTCTCACGTACAAAAGTTTAGTAAACCGTTTAACTGAATAGACAGAATAAAATATAAATACTATTTCATTAAAAAAGAGAGAATAACACACGACAGTACAAACAGAGATTAAGTGTTCGTCTGTGAGACTGAAAGTCCCGTGTGCGTGGTCGTGGATGCGCACTGTGGAGGAGTCCCATGTTAGGACGAAACGGTCGTCCAGGGTTTCCAGGATTTTAATGGTGGTTAGTGATTTTAATTAAATTCGACAATCTCAACAGCCATTTACTAACAACTAGTAAAATTTATTGAAATGTGCGTTCATATATAACATGATAAATTATCATGCTATCTATAGTCAATTATATCGGGTGTATTATTACCCACACTTCAAGTTCAGAAGTTAGTATTACTACAACGTTGCTCAAACAGAAATATATTCAGCACGACTCGGACCTACGACTTAGTGGCCTAACTGTGCATCATAACATGTGAACCACTCAACAGTCCAGATTTTATTCATACAGCAAGAACAAGATAAAACAGATTAAATGAAAGATTCTTTAGTAAATGTATTACTCCGAGAATTTAATGAGTTAAGAGTACATCACCAATTCACTGGTCAAATTTAGATGGTGAAGATCTGTATTTCACTAAATGACTGATGGAATTTTATTTCTCACAGTTCGTTGGTTTATTCATCACGCTTTTATTGTTCTTCCAAAGAGCATCAGCAGCAGAGTCAGATCAGTAATAACCACTCAAAACCAAAATCAACAACACAAGCTGCCAATTAAAGTAGCTCACTTCTACGTGAACTTTGTGCTGACCATGTTGTTCAGAAGAACAATGAAGGCTTCATGATTAAACCATCCAGTTCAGAAAACAAAACTCCGCCAAAAAATTGTCAAATTGCACCACAGATCACATCCATCATTGTAACCGAATGCTGAAAAAACTTTTCTTCGAAATAAAAATGTTAAAGAAACACGCACACGCACAAGATTAGTTTACAATTAAAGAAAATCTGTTCGATCACACAGAACAATCAGGTAAGCAAACAAAACGAATTAATGTATGGGTTATATTTACACAAAAGTTGTTAGTGTTATTTATAAAATACCTATTTTTAATGCATTAATACCGTTTGATTAGTGTTATTGGATTTTACTTATTATCGTTGGCAGTATGTTGTGATTAGACTACAACAATAATAACAGTAATCTGTTAACATAAAAGTCAGTGGATACCTTTACGAAGGATGGACAATTCCATTAATTGCATCAATTTCACTTTGTCTTCCTTATCCGACTGTTTTTTGTGTGTATGAGTGTGTGAAGACAGAGAGAGAGAGAGAGAGAGAGCGAAAGAGAGAACAAGGAAAGTTATTACACAGGGCATGAGAAGATATATGTACATATACACATGATAGATAGTACCTATGAAAATTTAAGGTACATTGGAGTACTTCCAATTTTGATCACGATGACTGGAGATCCTGGGTTTAAGTGTCGAGTGCGGTATCATAGACGTGCACAGCTGGGTCTCATACTATGTCGAAATGGTTGTCCAGTGATTTAATAGTGGTCTAGCTTAGATCGACTCGTGATTTCAACTGTGTAATGACAAAACGGGTTTAAATTGTTCATGAACAAACTCAGAAAACTCTCATTTATGGATTAAATCCTAAACCATTTTGCTGCTTCGAATGATTCGGTATTAAAATAATACATACCATAGGTCGTGTGCAATGTGTTCAACATTAAAGATTGTACTTCGCTTAAAACAATTTATCTCTACTGTACAAAACCATTACGATATACACTAAGAGAGAAGTATACTGTCAAATCAATCAGTTTTTAGGTTTAAGAGCGAAGTCTGAACTGCAATGTTAGCTATTGATCGTCGACAAATAGATGGTCTATTTGGCTATCATATGAAGTACAAACGATATCGTATGAATGGGAAAAAACATGAAATCCTTGCTTACATTTCTAAATGTATATTGTTTCGGCAGAGTAAATCAATAAGGTCTGATGTTTGTTCAAAATTTACTCTTAAAAAAAACATATTATTAGTAATCCTCATTGGATATTAGATAGGTATACAAATGTTATCTATTTATAGATTGTTTTTCGATAACACCTTTTAATCAACCTAGTAAAACCTGTGCAATTAAATACGTGATAGTTATGCGGAGTGGTATAAAAGAAGTCAAACAACCTGAGGGACATAAATTGATATCCAGGATAAATCACCTAAAGCAAACACACATCGATTCTGATAATGAAAAACTGATTTAAAAAGTCGAAAATAGATTAATCATTTTTTTGAAAGAACGCTTCACAGATATAAAATTCAGTTATTTTGAACAATACTTCATACATAGATCGCAATTACAAATCAATCAATCTACCCAGATTAGTAGCTCTTAAATTCAATTAGAGATTTCTATCCTAGCATGTTATGTAATTCTTCTCGCATATCAAATGTAGATCTACCTAACTGATAATTACATGCTTACCACTGATAAATTTTAAGCGGTGATGACACTTAAAGTTCTAGTTTTTTAACTGTAGACACTAGCCGATAATAGACCGGTAACAAATTAGAAATAGTAAGTGGCATAACAGTGTTTAATGAATTAAACAAAAACTTATGATAGACGGAATACATAGGCGTAATAATTGTGCTATTAAGTAACCATACAAAAAAATACAAACAATAATAATTCAAGAAATGGTTCCGAAAGCCCCATGAATTCGTGCTTCTAAATGCCATGGTACGGTAAAGGGAAGAGAGAGTCCGCTCTCCCTCTCGAAATGGTCTCACATGTCCACGCGTATACAGCCACTTCCAGGGATGTTCTGCTCACTGTTTTCTCGTAGTAGGGGTATTGTTCAAGAAATTGAGAGGACGAAAAGCGAATTTCCGCGCTTTAACAGGGTTCGTGGATATGGAGGATCCATCTAGAGGGATTGGAAAACCCTGATTCCAAACCACTGATGAACGTGAGCTCCAGGATTCTGAGTGAACAAATGGCGTATGAACCAATCGATGGTCACCGGCTACTATGAGGTTGCATCTATCAACGTTGCCCCACTGTCTTATGGATTAAATCTCTAGGCTAAAAGCTCGGAATATGATCCCCTAAGAAACCACCTGCTTCTGTTTGGGAGTCCGGGCATTATTCCAGCCCTCACACAAATCAAATGAAGTGTAGCGTATAAATACTTGGTGCCTGGTTGTACTAATGTTTATGTGTTTAAATCAACTTTTCATCTTGTTATAACACCAGTGAGATAATATGGTCATAACGCATGTTGGGCATTTATCCACAAATGGTATTAAGACGGTCGCACAATAACACAAATTAACGGAAGTTATTTAGACATAAACTATGAAGTTCCGGCCTAATGGTCTAAAGCCTAAATGCTAATCCTGAGGCCTGAAGGCCTCACATTCGATACTCTGTGGAGGTCGTGAATACGCGCAGCTGATAAGTCCCTCACACAAGCGTAAAACAGTTATACAATGCTTGCTAGTTTCCAATAGCTCTCTCTAATTAAGGTCAATCTGTGATGTAATCTATAACTGCCTACCTACTTCTTTATTCATTTATCTACATATTTATTTGCAGGTTTTTCAACCTTACTGTGAACGTAACTGATAAACTCTCGTCACTAGATATTCACCATTATTATCATTGAGTGAAACAAATGAAATGGAATCGACAAGATGATTAGTGGCAGTTTGTACACAAACAACGGCATGGCTATTCTAAATAGTAGAATAAATCACTTTAAATTAAAGTATACTGTGTACACAGTTAAAATTAATTACCACCACCACTATTATTATTATTATTATTACTACTAGTAGTAGTAGTAGCAGTAGTGTTAGTATGTAGTAACTATCATCTGCATGTATGTGTTATTACATCACGAGATTGAAAAATAGAAATGAATAAACAAATAAATACAGAACCATATGGGTAGCTTGGAAAGTAATAAAAATGACAATATATATATTCACAAAAATAGATCATTTTGACGTTAATACTGACAATACAACACATGGTAATGCATTGTACACAAACGATTGTGGTGAAAACAACACTTTCGCTTACAAAGAGAGAGAAGAAAGCAATTGATGATAATAAAATCAGGCAATCAATGAAAACTTCAAATGAGTTTAAATCTCATTAATATGACCATAGACATAGAAAGATGTATAAATATTAGTAATGACATGTACGGTGGTTGTAATACCTAATTTTACACTCACTACGCATGTTTATTTCTTAGACAAATGTCTTAATACTATCTTATAAGAAAATAGAATTGCATTTAAGTTTAAATACATCTAACGTAACTCAGTAAACAGGTGCTTTGAGTCTCGATTCTGTGTGAAGAACTAAATATACAAAACTATGTCGAGTGGGTGGTACGGAATTAAAATTAGTGACACTGTGGTTAAATGTCGAATATTTTAACTATTAAGTCATTAGTCCTATTTTCTGTGTATATCTTTTGATCGATATGACAACAATTATTATTATTTGACACGATGATGTCCAGTCGCTAGTTACTTGTCTATTTTCAAGTTAATAATAATTATTACAAAAATATATATACAGTAATCAGCATTATCATTCAGATTTTATTCAAGATTATTGTCTGACATTACTTAAGAAATTTGAAGTCACAAGTTTCAACACGCTATAAAAATGCATTTATTCTGAGCAAACACACATATGCATAAAGCCTGAAATAGGTCTCACACATGAAGAAAAAATGACCAAAATGCGATTTATTGTACTTACTACTTTTACACTTTCCTTTAGAAACATATTAATATATTCGCTGGCTTTTTCAAGTCTAACTTTAGCACGATTTTCATAATCTTCAACAGTAATTAAAACATGCAAATTGTCATTTAAATGCTGCTCCGAGTTTGGCAGAACAATATTTGCTCCAACCTAAATTCAGATACCATGCAGAATAGAAAATAAGTGTTTTTTGAAATAATATGAACAATGACAGAAATACGAAAATTTGAATGAATAGTCGATCGTAGGTACGCACTGCTGAGGAGCCCCGTGCTAGGACGAAGCGGTCGTCTAGTCCTTCCAAGTTTTCAGTTAGCAACGGTAGAATCTCGTAAATATTTAAATTGGTTTCAGTTTCCAGATTACATCAACAAAGCGAGATGTGATTATGAAGACAAATGCTAGAGTATTAGTACAAGTAGCAATAATTTCGGTGTTAATTAGATAGACCAGGCATGGGTAGTATGATTTTTAAAGAAATGAATCCGCAGAATAAAATATGTACGATACTTTTAAAAATTATTATTTGAGAGAAGACAATAATTGAATGCATATGAGTCATGTCACACATCTTCAACCAGGTAGTTTATATCTGCCAACAATGACTTCATTGACTGATGCTACGTTTTGATTTGACTATATAACTTTTTTCCAACCTATTGCTACCCTAGTGAACATCGCACGCCGAAATAGGCATTTGTTGGATATTTGTAACAATACAAGTCCGAACCACTTCAGTAGATGAATCATTACCTCATCAGTCAGTTTGTCGCCTTTACCTAGCACTATGCGTTACAAATGTGAATAATTTATTATCAGTGACAAACTTGAAATCGAATACAACAAAACTATCTCGTGAATAATGAATCCTTCAATTTTGATGGGAAGATAATGTTTTCCTACACAGGTACTGACCTGTGTATGGATGGGTTACTTCTAATTTGACTGGCTTAATAACCACCACTCACAAGGAATAGAAAGAGCAAAATAGCTGAATAAATTAAGTCGTGTTGAACACAATTTCGATCGCCACTTAAATAATACGATGCAGCCTAGTCAGAAAAATGTACTGATTTCGATTACTTAAACAATTCATTATGAAACAATGACTTAAAGTTGATTCAAGAAGAATGTGGGTTTATTGATTTATCACAATGTATATATCAATTATCAATTGTCATGATGGTCATTAATCTAAAGTTTGTTCATTTTCAATGTGGTGTGAGATGAAAAAACAAAGTCGATGATAAACTAATTTAAAGTAGAAAATGGTTTTGTTTTTTCACTGACATTTAGAAAAAAAATAGATACTTCTGGAGTAGAATTCCTTTGATAACAGTTTCACTTGGTAAATAATAAAGAAAAGCTGTGATCAGTGGATTTCAATCAAAGTCGGGTGTGAAATAGATGTCTACCTCACCCAATGGATGAAGGGTGGCGCAAGATCATGGATTCATTGAAATTAGACATTAACACTGTAGGGTTCCGGCTTAGTGGTCTAGAGATTAAGTGTTCGCGCGCGAGACCGAAGGTCATGGGTTCGAGTCCCGCGTGCGAGATCGTAGAAATGGATTGCTGAGGAGTCCCGTACTATGAGGAAACGGCCGTCCAGTGCTGCCAGGTTTTCAATGGTGGTCTCGTGATTTTATCTGTGAATATATAAATATTATGAAATAAAATTGTATTGATGAACAGTGATCTATGTCAAGAATTGCTAGGTTTGAAGCTATCACGAGTTTACTTAATCTGCGAACAAGAACAAAAACTCGGTGACCAAAGACCAATAAGCTAACTATTTGATGCGTCCCAGCCCCGCTAAACTAGAGGAAGAAGTCCAAGCTTGGAATGGGGAAGTATATTTTGCAAACAGCCAGAAACCAGAAATAACAACAAACACAAATCAAAACGTTTATATACAGTACAAACCGTCCTTGGGGAGAGTCACCAAATAGCATACTAAAAGACGCAATGGACCAATAGCATTTAAGATGTTTCCCAGTGGGAAATACGACATGAAGGTGAAAAGAGCGCTTTTGGCGCGAAAGCAAAGAAATTCAAATTTTCTAAATAAAATTACAAAATTAGGCCCTTTCCCAAGTGAGTTCTGGGGATCTAACGTCCTCAACAAGAATACACTCACATAGTGAGATTGTTTTCAATCTATAAGCTAGTTAAGATTCAGAGAGTTGCCTCATGGTGCCTGGGTAGATGAAGGACTTTGGTAAACAGTTCAACTAACCTCCATCTACTTTCTAGTTGCCTATTAATTAACAGTATAAATTTACAACTAAATTAGGCGCCAGAATTGAGTTGAAATTAGGAGTTTGGAGAAGTTTCGTGAAACTGATTGAGATCGTTGATTGTGTCCGGGCTTATACGAAAGAACAGAAGAATTAATTCAACTAATAGTTTTTAAAATAATGGCATTTAGAGTTATCTGATACTTATGTAGGACTTTGAAGCAGTAAACTTGAAAAACACAGACCATTTTTTAATCTGGAAATGGATGCAGTTGCCTAAATTTCGATCTTCATCGAGTTCTGAAGCATAGACATACTTAACAACACTTGACCGTTGCTGTATTTCTTAACCTATCTTATTCGATTCCGTTGATTGTTCAGGTTTATATTGTAATTTGCTATTGTAAGGGATATTAAAGAAGTACATAAACCTCTTAATGACTCTTCCCTTCAAACTTGTTTGCCAAATAAACGCCTGCACATAACTCATAACGATGTTTTTCAGGACTGAACACTCATCCCCTTAACTGACACCAGGCTATCTGATGTTAAATACCACAGTATGTCTAAGTCAGGTTTCAGACCAGATAACTAGTTAACTGAGTTTTATGCTAGTTCTCTCGACTAGTCATAAAGTTGTGTACATTGATTACAGTATTATTCTAGATTTTGTCGATCTTAGACAATGTATTTTTGTATTACTAGAATAGTCAAACAATGCATTTGGTTTGTGATATTATGATTCTGTAGTCTAGAAAGATTGTTAAACCGCTGTCTAAACACGTATCATAAATTTTTTCCTTTCCTCTCACCACTCTATCGGGCCCAAATCCAAGTACACGTACACACACATATATACAATGTTTATCTTTCCGTTTTAAACTATGATTTTCACACTTCCAGCAAAAGTAACATGCTTTGTTGGAATAAAAGTTGTCAATGAATGCCCGGGAAATTATTTCATTCTAATTACCTGTGTACTGGATGAAATTTATTTTGCTAAAATAAAAACACACAGGATCTACATGTGCATTTTCAGTGTTTATATAAAGAGTGCGTAACTAGTCGAGTGGTTTCCGAGATTTAATTTTTAGATTTTCTCTCATTTAAAATGTTTGTATTGGTAATTCAAAATCATTATTTACTATCGGGGTACAAAAGTACTTTCGCTAAAACTTATGCACATAACATACCGTTTTGAATTAGCATGTGTATATTATACCCCTAAGTACGTGACAGATACTTCGAAAGATTTTTTCCTGAATAGAATAATGTAGAAATGTATCATATTAACATTAACACTCAGTGTGATATTTATAACGAACTTGAATTCAAATACGTAGAAGACTATCTGTGCAAAACTATATCGTATTTTGAAAAAATATGCTCTCTTACAAAGACAAAACAGAAAGTTGTGAAACCCTCACACAATTCACAGTTACATTTTTTTCAAAACAAATAAAACGAATTCAGGAATGTAGATACGTTCAGCTATTTGCAGTGACTTTACACTGAACGAATGAGAACATTGGTATTCGAATGTTTAAATGAATTCTAACTGTTAGCGAGACATAGATTGGATTAAATCATGCTCATTGCACGCTTGCGTTGGCGCACGCTGATTAACCAATTCTTATCCAATCAGCGCTAGCCGATGCTTGGAGAAGACTCTAAAATCTTTGTATGTAAAAACTATAAATATACTAATGTTTTTCCTTTTGTGCTTCTTACTTCCATCTAACCTTGTTATTTGGAATATAATCTCCTTCCTGTTCAACCGTGTTCTGATTTGGGGACTTGTCGAGTGAATCTGTGTCCAAGAATACTAAACAATAGGAATAGCTGGGTTAAAATGGTAAGAGGAATAATTATAACACTAACCCTACAAAAATAATATTGTACAAACATGAACGGAACAAGTTTTACGTATACCTAAACTACTACCTACTTTAACGTGTAGAATGACGCTTAGGAGTAAGTTAAAAAAAAAGAGAAGAGTTGGTAAGTCAAGAGAATGACATTAGTCCATAAACTCATTGGCTGCTGGTTTGATTGACGCTAGATGTAAACTTTCTAGCTTGAGACAGCATTGAGTAAAATAGGGCAAATTTAGTGATATTAGCAAAATTACAAGCATTCCCTACTTTCCGGTAAATCAAATATTGCGCACAATGGAGACGTGCTGACATTAATGAAAGTCTACTTATATATATATATATATATATATATATATATATATATATATATATATATATATATATATATATATATATATATATATATATATATATATATATAATTTATTGATTTATGTGGATATTTTACTGTGTAATGATACTCAAGCCAAGCAATCCGCACGTAATCAGTGTTCTTATGTATGACATGTGCTTTGGACCTACTAAGTTCAAAGTACTTTTACAAGACTGTTAGGAGCTTGTAACTGTGCTCACTCTTGTTAGTAAACAGTTAGAAATTGTAACATACTAAATATACACTACCATAATTACTCATAATTCTGTATTAACAATTAAAATAACGTTAGTTATCAAACAAACAACCACGTTCATTCTGATAGATCCTTAGTAAGAATCTTTTAAGACCTCTATACGATCCCGCTACTCTTATTGATTAGTATTTTTCGGATATATTACTCAACTAGTCTCCAAAGCTATAACACGTTTGGACAGAAACAAAATTAAACTCCAAATAAACCAAGTTGAGTGAGAGTAATAATCATAAGGCGAAAACTGTTAGTAAACTTATAATTTATACACAAGAATATTTTAGTCTTCTTTAGATATCTCCTAGAGCTGATTGGCTAAAAATGGGGCAATCAGAGCACCCCAATATCATCCTGTATAGGACATTGTTTATTTCCAATATATGACCTGCTAACAGAATCGCTGAAGGAATACACAATTCCACAAAACTTACTATTCGAATAAAAATAATAATAAATAAATGCTGAATAAATTTTAGTAGAAAACAAGAACCCTTACTTTAGAAAAACAAGATTCAATCACAACTCACTTTTGTTTGATCTCGCATAGATCCACGACCACGTATCATAATTCTTACTCCTAAAAATTGTTGTAAAAATTTAGCAGTGGATCCGTGAGGGCCAAGAATTCGTCCAACAAAGTTGTACTACATAATATTGTGCATGTTTATGAAGACGGGGAAATATCGTTTGGAAATGAAAAGTAAAAAAAATATAGTGCAAATTGATGAAAACGATACCAAAAGAGACAAAGTGGGATTCAAGCATACAATCTAATTTTTTGATTATTTAAACAAACTACGGAATTATTACTTTTACAGTCGAAAACAAAAAAAGACAGAAGCAATTTACTTTGAATATACCAGATTTAGTAAGAATTGTTTAAAGCTTTAGTAAAATTGTAGAACGTTAGTTAATCTTTCAGTCTAACATTTTAAGGCTTTTATTCACTTGGAACAGAAGTAACCTACAATTTCTACGCGGTACGAAAAATGTACAGATAGACAAAGAATACATAAACCATTATAGTGTACAACATCATGCTAGGCATATACAAATGTACCCCTTAGAATTCCACTCATATAAAAAGCAACTGTTAAAAACGATAACAAAACAAATGATCCTATAAAGGCAGCATATTTTTTATTTCTCTTTCTCTCGTCACAAATCACAGAAAATCGTAACAGTAAAAATTTTCTGCTCTTAAAACTTTCATTACATTTAAAAAACTATTCCTGAGATACAAGAAACGTCAGCCTAGAAAAATGATATCTTACACGAAGCAAAACCCCAGTAACAACATTTTTCTGTAAAAGAAAGTTGAATGTCTCCACAAAATGATACTAATTATGGTAAAAATCGTTAATTAAATCTAAACAGAGCTGAATTCATAGAAGTACTTACATCAGTGGCAGTAATATATAAAAGAAAAGTTGTGTATAAGGATATAGTGTAGGAAGAGAGAATTAGTTCGTAGAAGGAAAGATATGAAGCGATTTTAATCTCGCGGTTTAAGGGAAGACAAAGAGTCGACATTTGTGAGTTATAGGTAGTATAAGCGTTGATTGTTGTGAATGTAGAACTGAGTATACAGACGCTGTTACTTGGAGCTAACTCGTAAAGACAACAATTGAGTATAATGAAAGAGTTGAAATGATGAGTCAAATGAATTTAGACCACCGTGGAAAACCTGGAAGCACTGGACGGCCGTTTCGTCCTAGTACGGAACTCCTCAGCAATGCACATACACGATCCCACCCCCTGAGAGGTCTGTTGTGAGATATCAGCTCACTGAAGACAATGGTGACGGTGGCACAATTTCGTGGGTTGATTGAAGTTAGACATTAACACCGTTGGGTGCCGGCCAGCTCAGTGGTTTAATGGTTAAGCGCTCGCGCACGAGACTGATAGATCCTGGGTTCTAATCTCATGGGGGGGAGGGATCGTGGACACGCACTGCTGAGAAGTCCCATACTAGGACAAAACGGCCGTCCAGTGCTTCCAGGTTTTCCATGGTGGTCTAGCTTCAGTGGACTCATGATTTCAACTGTTGAAATTACTAAAATCTCCACAAAACCCCTTCTGATTATAATGAAAGCATTTCCAGGTTGATAAAAAAGATGTGATAGCTTTTTATTTCCAACCTGTACAAATGTTAATAGCTCAAATAAATGAGTCAACAACTAGGATGGAACTATTTAGGATGTGATTTTAATGCTCTTGATGGAGACGTTATACGGAAAAATAAAGTCGTACTTTTGCCTCATACCTTCTAAATAATTTGAATTCCACACAAGGAACTTTACTACACCCAATATCAACCCTAAAAACATTTATTAGCTCGTTAGGTGACCATACTGGAGTTTTTTCCAAACTTAACTCATGCCAGAATGACATCAAAATAGCGTCACCGCAATCAATTTATGTTTGTCACTATGATAATTTTACATCAAGATAATGAAGGTCAATCTTCCTAATAAGCACCACTTGTCATTATGTTAATTGGCAACTCTGCATAAACCATCACTTAGCATAATTCATATGGGATTTCGTAAAAGTAGGCGATGAACTACGAATTTAAAGGCTTCAGTCAGTCAGCTACAACGTAGGACCAGGCACATATATGCATCGGTCCAAGTTGCCATACCGCATTAGCACACCACGGTGGACACCGTATTAATAGGAGTAGTTAAGTCAATCGTGTTAACCTATGCTGGTCAATATAACTTATCGTAAGACGATTTTCGTCTACCAATAATTGTGTGACTCATCCATAAACTACAGATTTATCTACTCGGCTTTGAGTCCCATGATTTTGTGTGGGAACTACTGATGCTACTACTATTAAATGAATACTCTATAAGGACTAAAAGGAGACCGATTATCGAGAACTAGAGTTTAGGCACCCGTGTAGTCTCCCAGCCCTCACACAAATTGGATGATTTATATGGCGCATATTTATTTGGTACCTCCTTGTACCAATGTTTATGTTTAAATAAATAGAGAGTATTGAAAGCACAGGTTATGCAGTAATTGTAAAAATTGTTCAAGGAATCTAAACAAATTTGGAGAAATAGTAAAGTATGAAATACACCATCACGACAAGGATATATTTTGTGTGGCAACAAATAAATAAGTGGATAAATTTTTTAGTGACTGATGTTAGAAACATCCAAATTACTATGACTGATAAATTGATAGCTACTCCCTACCAAATGTATAGGTTAGCTTTGAGTACTTTGGTAACAAGTACCTCAGCAAAATGCTACAAAACCGCACTTCTTTGTTAATGAGTTATTTAAAATGACTTCAAAACGTATACAATAAACTAGCCATTAAGTAAGGACTGTACAACCTTACTATAAAAATTTCGACACCTTAAGTCACAGCTTTTTAAATGGTTATCAGGAATATGAATCCATTTCCACCGCCTACCTATTTTGTGGTTAATTGTTTAGGGATTTTTATTTATTTATTTAATCACCTCTAAATATGAGTGACAAAACTCAAGTGCATCTGTACTGTATTACACTTGACATGTTTAAGTTATTGTCGGATATTCTTTTTCCTACACATATGTTTCAAGCGGTAAGTTTTGTCAGGGAGCAGCTTTAAAACAAAAACGAGGTAGTGTTTTATGTATTTTTATGATAAGAGTTTCATCTATGATTTGTCTTTTTTAATAATATCTACCAAAATACAGAACTACAGAACATGAGTATGATGATGTCTTGCCTCTTAAACATCGGAATTTAACAAATGATTCAACAGAAGTACTCATTAACTACCAGTAGTAAGTTGAGTGAACAACAAAACCGTAAGCATACAGATGGTGAAGAGATGCATTCACAAACTAGTTGCCTATATGATAGCCATTAAGTAGCTATCTCTATGCCACTCACAGCACCAAAGACCAGTCTGACGTACTACATCAGCTTTGAAAATAACGTGTATTGTTTTTTTACTTAGTTGGTTAATGAATGTCATGTATAAAAAACACCTGAAGTTTTATTTGCTGTACTACAAAAAAGAACAAAATAAAGTACAAGGAATCTAAGATGAAGATTCAAACACATAAAATAAACTTTCTAGGAACGAAATTTAGAACAATAGAAAAAAACTGAAACACAAACATCTGTAGTGCGATGAGAATCAAATGAGAAGCACAAAGCCGAATATATAATTTAATAAATAGTCGTATCTGTGGTTCAAACAAATGATATAAAACTTAATTGAAGTAACCCAAGTAAAGAGGGATTGAAAACCGACGAGTGAGTATCTACTTCACAGTTAAATAACTTTACCAAATAATAAGTGGAATATTATTTACGGAGGACTATGCTTGATTACCTATTTAAATTATCATGAGGCACAATCCCGAATACGAACATAATAAATTTAATGAAAAATAATATGAAAACTAAAAATTGCTTATCACTTACATTGTTGGTAGAGTCCATCGGCATATATATTTTAGCTTGTAGACTAACCTTAGGGCCATCGGGTTTTGGCAATTCTTCTTCTTTTATTGGACAGATACCAAATGTCGAAAACAATTCGCTCTGAACACGCTGTATTTCTTTTAAAAGAGATAAACTAGAATACAATTAGTACCTTCGCCCAAAAGTTTTTCGATATGAATGTACAAGCCAGGAGTGGCTAAGAGTTTCATGCGATCCATGAATAGTTCTT